TACATATAAAATCTATAAATCTATCTATCTATCGTAAATTCATTTGGAAGTATAAATTTTGATTTATAATATGTAAATACAAATTTATTTATGCCTCCAGATTAACTTAAGTGTGAAGTTAATTTATTTAATATTGTTATAATAACTATATCTTCATTTATTCAAAACCACGATAGAATTGCATTTCAATAATCTAAATCTATGCAAACAGCCCCATAATTATCTCGAATTATACGAGTTCACCTTCGATAGTGCTTGTTCGGTACAAGCAATACATACTAGGAAATATGTTCAATAATCATTTCTTCGTGATAACGCAATCCACGATCGTTCTCCGACCGATAAAGTGCATCCTGATGATTCCTGTTTCTCACGTTTCCACTTAAGGACCCCGTCGAGACTCGAACAAGTATCGTACACGGATGTCGTACGTTTCCTCGCGCTTGCTTGCTTGCTTGCTTGCTTGCGATCAAATGAAACTTATAAAACTTATATCGAAGTTCCCGTTTAGGGAAGAAATAAAAATAACTTTTCCAAGAATCAAATACAAATGTGACAAAAGTGAAAATAAAGCGAAAATTAAAATTTATAACGGAAAAGGAAGGAATAGATAAAATATATTATTTAATTCTCAGTTCAATAAATTAGCTCCAATTAAAGTTGTTTGCTTAATAATAATGATTGGAATGTTGATTATTTAAGATGATTAAAATTATCATTATCCAATCGTATCTGTGAAACCGTTGTATCTCGTTTGTCAGGCAGGAGACCTATCAAACCCGAAGAAGATTTACGATATTCGTCGATAGAGTGACAAATCGAGAATGCAAACACGAGTAAAGAATTCAAGCATCGATTAATTCTTTTTTTTTCTAATCTAAATACGATAATAAACTAAATTAACCGTGATTTCGAGTCATTATCGTCCTCCTCAATTATTTCAATTATTTCTTTTATTAAAATTTTCCCCAGATACGAAACGAAACCTCGTAGTAGACGAAAGGCATCAGAAACTGTGTTGTGTGGACAGTTCCGCAACAAAAAAAAGAAAAACACAAACTTTGAACAGCGATGATAGTAATAATAATAACTTTCTCTCTTTCTACCACGAGTTCCTTCGTCAAACTCCTCGTCAATCGATCTTCATTGAAAGCCTCGAGGGACGAGAAGGTGCAAAAGATTTTTCCCCTCCCCTTCCCCTCCCCTCGTCCATTCTCCTTCCTTTTTTTTTCTTCTTCCATCGACCTTGCTCATTCGTCACGAAGCGAACGCTAACCAGAGCCCGCTGAGGTGAACACAGCGTTACAGGATCTCACTGTCACGTGACGTGGCTAACGTGGCAGATTAACGATTACACAATTACCCGAGGCTAATTGATTTTAATTTCAATCTCGCCTCTCGTCGTTGCTCGCCGATCGTCCCTTCGGGGTCGATCCAAGGCTTCCTCCGCGTTTCCTCCAACCTTACACCCTCCCTCTCCGTCTTCCTTCCTTCTCCTCCCTCCCTTTCACCTCTTTGTCTTTTATCCTCCATCCTGCCTTCCACGCCGCCTTCGCCTTTTCTCTCTCCCTCCCCCTATTTTTTCTTTTTTTTTCATTCGATAGCTCTCTTTATTTTTCGACTTCATGCACGCACTGCTCGTCAAGGGGGCCGTTCCATCTCCGGGTCCTGGGTATCTCTTGGTCTGGAAAGGTGACTGGAAAATCGTCTCATTAAAGCGCGTTTAATTCGTTGTTGGTGGCCAGAAGGGGAGGAGAGGAAAAGGAGAGGGGAGGGAGGCGCTAAATTGCGGCGGCGTGACGAGCAGAGAGCAGGCCAGCAGCCAACGCAGCCCCGCGTTATTTCTGACAATGATAATTGCACTCGTTACGTACCTCGTGCCGTGGAACATCAATTTACCGGATAATCGGGCAGACACGGGGCACCAACGACCGGACATCGCCTCCCCCNGCCAAGGGGGAAGCTTCTCGCCTATCCACCGTCTTCGAGAATCTCTCCCCCTCCTTCGTGAAACGGGGGAAACCTTTTCGCCTGATATTAAGTCGAATATTAAGCGCCCTGTCGGCGAGATTAATTTCTCGGTTGATCACTTTCGAGGACGAACAAGGAATTTCCCTTCCCTCCCCGTTCGAACTTGATAGGAGATACTTTGGAGAAACTTAGTCTTCTGTAACGTTTTCGCGTTTTATTCCATCTATTTGTGTCGTGAATTATATATATATATATATATATATATATATGTATAGCGTTTCGTAAGGATATCGCAATACGGATTGAACTCGGAAATTGAACTCTGCTCGAATGGAACAGGAGCGATCGATAGAGCTTTATCTGCCAGCCAATATATCTCGTCTATCGAAATTCCTCGA